GGGGGTGGGAGGGATGGGCGGGGAGAGAAGTGCAGCAAAGAATGAATGGAAATCCAAAATCTCTGTAAATGCTCATTAAAATTAAAAAAAAACCAAAATAAAATTTAAAAAAACCATGTGTTTTAACTTTGGATTTTTCCATATTTCAGGATGTGCCTAAGTGCTGCTAATCATTTCTTTGTGAGCAGTTTATCTCTCCTAAGAGAGGAACTGGTCATAGGGAGATGATTAACTTCACACTGAATTTTAAAACAGACAAATGTGATGTGAGCTCACCACAAAAGCAATAGGAAAAAACCACAGTGTATAAATAGGTCCTGATAGTTCAAGCCTATGTTGTTCAAGAGCCAGCTATGAGTTGTAGGTGAGCTTTCAACTGTGTGGACGGTCAATGCCCCTGCCCTGCAACGTCGGTCAAAGACAAACAGTACATTGGAGAGGAAGCAATGGTTAAAGGCAACCATTCTATTCTTCTCCCTTAATTTTCATACTGTACCGTTCTTATTCTCTCCCACTTCAGGCTTCCACTTCCACCATCTCGTCCTAGGTTCCCTTTAGCCCCTTCACCCAACTGTAGACATCCCAACCTTCAGCCTCATCTTGGTGATCCTGTCTTTATCCGGTCAGAGCCTATGCTCTTCTCCCCCACATGCTCTTGTGCTGTGCCAGCCTCGCCATCACAGCCCCTCAGGTGTCTAGGCCCCTACATGCTCTATCATCCCTGGCCTCAGGTCAGGCCCGTGATTTGCTGGCCAGCTATGGAGGATGCAAAACCAACCCTGGTATGGGTCGGTGAACTCTGACTCCTGGAGTCTTCTCTCTTCAAGTCCCTTCCTGCCTCATGTGAACAGCAACTCTGAGGCTCTGGGGCACAGAGAGCCCACAGCCTGGACATAGATTCCATCAATTCACATCCAAGTGGAGACCACTAAAGGGGAGTATACACAGCAGAGATGACATCAGAGTTTATTGTGGAACTTAGTCCACTGAGAAGCATGAGTTGCTGGGGGAAGGGACAGTAAGGGTGAAAGAGAAGTTAAATAAACTCTGATGTGGAGTGAGGGGGCTACTAGGGAGTGTTGAGGAAGGTGAGCCATCAGGAATAAGAAGAGACTGAGGGTGGGCAGGGCTGCAGTGCAGAGGAAGAGGGGAAGGCATTGAAGGAGTGGAATGCTGCAGGGGAAGGACTGGGAGGGGCAACCCTCTCAGGGGAGGAGTCAAAAGCTAAGCTGGGGCAGTGCTCTGGGCTGCCTGGAGGAGCCTGATGCCCAGCCTAGGCCTCTTCATTTTTGGGCACCTAGTGCCAGGGCGATGATGAGGCCCACCACCAACAGGAACATGGCCACCGAGAGCAGCACTGTGATGACGATCATGCCCCCTGTTCGGGCCATTCCCAACCCAATGGACTCCATCTTCCTTCCTGTCAGAGAAAAGAGAGGGAAGGCCATAGTGGGCAGCAAGGGCCCCATCCTTCCCAGGAGTCTCAGTCTAACCCTGCATCCTTCCAACCACCCATCTCTTCACCCTTTGATTTATCCACCCAAATTATCAACTCAACCAATGAGCCAAGGGATTCAAACAAGCATCAAACAGACATTTTTATAAAGCCTCCCCTCTTCAGTCACAGGGGATATGGAAATGAATAAGACCCAATCTCTATCCACAAAAGCCCTCCAGTTTAAAACATAGTAGCCAGATGAGGCAGGTAAATGCCGAGAGCTCAATGCTGCTAGAGGGATAGAGGGAGTAAGGAAGCATGGGGTGAGTGTGGAAGTTCGAAGATAACCCAGGTGCATGAGGAGGTCAGGGAAGGTGAGGAGGAGGAGGGTGATGAGAAGTATGAGGAATGGGGGATATTACTTACGAGGAAGGGTGGACATTGGGATCTCTCTACTGGATTCTGTGGCTATCCCCTTCTTCACTTGATACGAAATGCTTTTGGAGAAAGGTTTTGGGGAGAAAGGAGCAAATACATAGTAACTAAGATATGGGGGGAGGGGGCTTCGTAGCAGTGCCTTCCATATGCGTCCTCCTGCAAGTGTTGTCCAGTTTCTCTACCCCGTAACAGTGTCCTCCTTCTGGCCCTCTATGCTGACCAGACACCCTTTGCCACAGCAATGCCAGGACCCAGCTCCTTGTCCAGCACCCTCTCCAACAGGTGGCCCAGCCCAGGTCAGGTACTTACTAGTATTTGGTTCCAGGCACCAGATTTGTCACCTGGTATGCACTGAGCCGGGTGACTGTAAAGCCAGCCCCGCTTTCCACCACATTCACCAGCTCCCTGCGCCCTCGGCATGGAGGCACCACGAAGCTGGATTTCACCACTGGCCAGGAAGTCAGAGTGGAAGACAGTGTCAAGTCAAAGGCCTCAAGGCAAAGGGGTGACTTTTAGGGTAGGGACACCCTGCCCTGGGGAGAGGGGTTGACAGGAGGACATGATGGAGGAAAGGACGTAGGAATGTCCAGGGAGGGACACAGCAGGGGGTAGCAGACCTTTGCTGTCATTTGCTCTACGGACCATCAGCGTGGCGTTGCCCCCTGTGAGGTGACAGGGAGGCAAGGCAACTAGCAGGCTCTCTGTTAGCGCAGGGGACAGCACGCCGGAGAGATCTGAGATGTTGAAATCTGTTGGTAGGCCAGGAAAGAATTAAGACGGGTGTCTGTCCACCTCCTCCTCCTCATATCTATCCTGTTCCTACTCCCACCACCCCAAGTTATTTCTAAGAAAGCAGTTTTTCAAGAATAGAGAATACTTGGCAAAGTCGGTTCGCTCTTACTGATATGGCCACCAGGTGGCAGTCTTGGGCTGCATATACTGGCTCCTCTGCTCCTGTTCCCCCGGCCGGCCCCTGAGCGACAGGAGCAGGGCAGGCCCCCCTCACCTTTCCTCACTTTCTCATCTTGAGTTTGTCAGGGGACAAGGAATGTGTTCTGGCCCCAGTATCTGGTGTCTGTTTACTGCCATCACCATTTCCCCACCACAGCTGTCCTGAGAGCCCTGGAAGACACCAGTACCTCCTGTCCAGACACCCAGATAGCACACCCTTCAGCCCCAGAGACCTGCCATCGCTGGGGCTAAGACAGCCAGCAGAACTAGGATCCAGGGCGAGGTGTGGACTGGTAGCAGGGATGCCATGGCTCCTGATGGCTGGGTTGGAAGCTGGAATGGTGCTGGTCCGCTGGGGCCTCCTGAGGCAATTAGAGCCCTGCCCCTGGGGTGACAGATTTTATCTTGAGGTTGGGAGAGGCTGGAGAGGAATCTTGTCCAACCTGCCTATTGGCCCTAGGGGGAGCCCCCAGACAGGTTTTTCAGGGTGAGGAGTTGATTCTTTCCTGGTGAGAGGGGAATGATTACTGGATCCCAGAGGTCATTCAGCTGCAGGGGATAAGTGTCGATATTCCCTTGGGACTCCGAAGTCTAGACGCTGAATGTTCCTCTGCTGTGTCTCTTAGAAACTGCCCTCCATCCCCCACCACCTCTTCGGGAGTGGTTTCCCCAAGAGGGCTTCTTGTTCTGAGGTTCCCGGTATTCGGGAAGAAGAGGGTAGGGTCAAGAGGCTCCTGAATGAATACTATGCTGCATTAAAAAACAAGGAACTCATGCAATATTATTCAAAATGGTTGACTCTGGAGAACATTATGCTGAGTGAAATATCCCAGTCACAAAAGGACAAATATTACATGATGCCACTGTTGTAGAATGGGACTGTCCTTGGGGTTGGGGAGAGACTGAGTAAGATGGGTTCAATAATGTATACTGCACTGAAACAGAGGAGGGAGAAAACTGTTTAAAAGAGATATATAACTAGGTATTTCTGTCATCACAGGAGACTAGAGCGAGGGCTACATGGTGGAGGGGACCTGGGGGAGGGTTTGTAAAACAATGAAAGAATCTTTTCTTTTACTTTTCCATAATTTTTGGACTCATGTACTTATAACTTGTTAGTCAAATTTGTGTCTTCTAGGTTGCAACACCCCCATGATACATCTTTAAGGATATGAACATGTATGGCCAAGCACAATCAATAAGAGTGCATCTAAATTCCAAAATCAATCTCCATAATAGTCTGTGTTTCCTACTGCCAAAGGGGCCCTTTAGAGTAGTGAGAGAAGATCTTCACCCTGAAACCCACAGCGTCCCTTTTCAGCAGGAAGTAGCTAAGAGAATACGCCATCCCCTTTTCCTTATGACTCAGGGTGAAGTCTCTCTCAGGGAGGAGTGATAGGGAATGGCAAAGGACACAATGACAAAGAAGATTAATCAGAACTGGCTTTGACAAGCACTGTGGCATTTGGACAAGAACAAACTGGGAGGAGGGTAGAGAGAATAGTGCAACAATGAATGAATGGAAACCCAAAATCTCTGTAAATGTTTATGAAAATTAATAAAATATAGAAAAAAAAAGAGGCTCCTGAATGGCCTTCCACTGGGAAAGAATGGGAGAAAAAGTTTAAATGGTGGTAGGGACAAGGCAGGGGTGCTTTGGTGGCCTAGTGGTAAGAAGCTGCACTGAAATTCCAAAGGCATGTGAGGTTTGAACCCACTAGCTACACTCGGAGGATGGGTAGTTTCATGCCATTAAACTGCTTCTGAAAACCCACTGGAGAGTCTGCCTGACTCAACAACACAAAACAACAACGACAAGGGGCAGGGTAGCAGAGCCAAGGGTTCTGACTCTTGGTGTTGACTGAGGTCCAGGTCCTACAGATCTGGGAGAGGCAGGCTGTCTTCCAGGGAGATCTGGAGCCTCCGCCATGGGGTCAGGCCTACAGCTCTGAGATGCCTCTGGAGGGTGAAGCCAAGGGATGTCAGGTGATATACATCCAGGGGCAACAGAGAGTAGACACGTATCCAGTCACATAGGGGTGAGGGGAAAGGGACACAAAAAGAGACTTGGCAAGTGATTTGTTTTCCTCATCTAGAGAGTAAAGATTGAGATTACCATTTATTTAGTCTTACTTGGATCCACAATCAACACCCTTGGTACCAGCAGTTAGGAGATCAGGAGACATGGGGCACTGAGAAAGCCTGCAGATGTTCTGCAGAGATAATAGTTCTCCAAATTATTAATGAGCGAGGATATCACCTTGAGGACTAAGGTGCACCTGATTCAGGCCACAGACTTTCCATCACCTTTTATGCATCTGAGAGCTGGACAAGATATAAAGAAAACAGAAGAAGGATCAATGCCTTTGAACTGTGATATTGGAGAAGAGTGCTGAATAACACATGTACTGCTAAAAGAACAAACAGATATGTCTTGGAGAAAGTGCAGATAGAGTGCTCCTTGGAGGGAAGGATGATAAAGCTTCAGCATACATACTTAAAGCATGTTACTAGGAGAGGCTATTCCTTGGAGTGGGACATTAGACTTGTAAAGGTAGAATGTCAGCGAAAGAGAAGACGACCCTCAACTTCATGGATTGACACAGTGACTGCAGCAATGGACTCTAGTGTATCAGAAATTGTGAGGACAGCACAGGGTTCAGATCTGTTGTTTATGGGGTCACTATGGGTTGCTCTTGCCTTGATGGCACATAACAACAACAATTGAAAGTAAATAAGGAAAAGAGACCCAGTTAGGGGAAATGAAAAAGCCACAACTTCTGGGGCTTCATCCCTGTGCTCCACTGGAGGAGTATGACTGGAGAGAGGGGTGAGCAGGCAGGAGGCGTCTTCTGCCATACTCTTATCCCTCACAGCCACCTGAGAGGACCACGTTAATGCTCCCTTTTGTAGATATGGACACAAACCAAAAGGAAGGGTCATTTGTTTAAAGTTGAGCACTTTGTGGGGAGAGGCCAGAAAACTCTAAAGAAGCCTCATGTTTTGTCTCTTTGCTCCAGAAACCATTCTGTCATCCTCAAACCCAGAGGAGCAGGTCCTGGTGGGAAAGAAAGGGCTGGTGTCTGCACTCCATGGTGGGAAGGGTAGGCTTAAAGTCCGGGATCAGGGCAGAGTGGTGACAACAGAAAGGAAACAAAGCAGGAGGAGCTTAGACCAGTGCATCTCCACTTTAATGTGCATATGAACTTTCGGGGATCCTGTGAATATGTAGCTTCTGATTCTCTTAGTGGGTCAGAGTTAAAGCCTGAAATTCTGCCTATCTGAGGAGCTGCCAGGTGGCACTGTGGATGGTGGTCCGGGAGGACTCCACTTAAGTTGCCAGGTGCCCTGTACTCTCTCACCCCCTGCTTTCCTTTCCAGCAGAGTTCAGGGGCAGGTGCCTCTCACCATCTCTCAGAACAGGCTGCCTTTTAGTAAAAACTGAATTTTGTTTTTCTGCACCTTTTGTTCCAGATCAGATAAGATCCTACCATTCACCATAGAAACTCAAAGAGGACCTTTTGCATACTAAAGGGAACTTGCACAGTGATGGTGGAATTCCAGGGGTGGAGAGATCTCAGCACTGCTCAAACCTTATCACCAACCAGGAAGGATGTTTACACTTTAGCTGGAGTAGGGGTATCTCTTCTCCACTTCAGTCACAAGCCAGGAAACAGACAGAAGAGTTTATTGCAGGGTGAGTTGTGTTGGATCTACTCCTGAGCCCTCATTCTAGTCTGAAATCAGGAAGACAGAGTGGGTCAGGGGTGGGCAAAGCTCTGACCAGATTTTAAAGGGCTAAGAGGACCCTGTGCCTTTAAGCCCTCCCTTCTCCCTCCAGCCTTTCTCCTCCTCAGCGCTGGCCCTCCCCAGGTTTCTGGAGGAGCTGAGAGTTGCGTCTTCTCCCTGCCCTGCCGAGCTGCTCACTGGCTGCTCTAGAGGCTGTGCTTTGCGGTCTCCATGGAAACCATTAGTTGCTAAGCAACTGGAGCATCATCTGTGCTGAGCTCTCGCATCTAATTATCCCATCACAGCGGCTGAGAAGGGTTTGGGGAGCTGAGGGGAGGGGGAGGCCAAGCGCAGAGCAAGAGGATAACTCTTTTAGCAGAGCAGATTCATTGACAACACTGAAGCCATTTAAAGTCACAGCACCCTGCTCCTCTGGAACGTTCCCCCATGTAGATTGGAGTAAGGAAACCAGGGCCTCAAATGCCTAGAATCTGTCTTGGAACCACTTGAGGCTTTCTTCCCTTAGATGCTTGGTTCTGAACTTCCTCATGTTCTCTTTCCTTCTTCTTTTCACCCAAATCTCCCATTTGAGTCAACAAACGTTTATTGGCACTTGGCTAGACAGAGACATAAACTGAGGAAGAAAAGATTTCTGCCCTCAAGGATCTCTGGATCTGTTCTGCTCAGCCGAGAAGACTAACTCCTAGAACAGAACTGCTGTTCTGTATTATGCTGGGATGTTTTGTTTGTTGATGTTTCATTTTTCTCTTTGAATTATAGTAATTTTGCAGATAGAAGATCTGGGATTTAGAAACCAGATCCTGTAGTTCCATGGGTGGTTCTCCTTCCACAATATCATCCTTCTTGATAATTAGGAAGCATCCTTCCAGTTAATTAGGAAGCACGTGGACTTGGCTCCATGGTATGAGCCATGATGGGGAACATTGTTCTGTTGGTGAATCAGTGGTGAATCACTTTGAATCTCAGTTTTCTCACTTGCAAGATGGGAAGACTAATTACTTCCTTACACAGAAGATTTAGGAATATATACCAGCTGTAAAATGCTTTCAAGCAGAGGTGCAGAAAAAATGAGGAAATTGTCAGAACCTTTAGTTATGTAGATACTAGGAAACGTGTGAGGGTTTGGGCCCAGAGGTAGAAATCAGTGCTTGCCAGAGGGTGGGCTGATGGGAATGGTGGATCCTTGAGATCTGACACTTGTGAAAATTGTAAGAATAAGAACATTATAAAAAAACAAAAACAAAAACCATTCTAGTCTTTCCAAGATAGAAGAGACATGCATGCGTTATTTATTTTTTTTTAAATGCAATACTTACCTTTAGAAGAATTTACCATTAAAGGTTGAAGAATTTACCTTCGAAGGTTGTATCACATGCCACTTTTGGAACTTAAAAAAATAATGATATCATTTAAAGACTAAGATGTGTCTGATGGTCACACCTTAGTGAGGGTATTTTCTATGCATCTGAAAGTTGGACAGTGAATAAGGAAGCCTGAAGAAGAACTGATGCCTTTGAATTATGGTATTGGAGAAGAGTATTGATTATATATACCAGGGG